ATATATATATATATGTATATCTATATAGAGAGAGATAGATATACATATGGATTTATCAGATTAGCTCACAGGATAGAGTCTGAGTAGTCCAACAATGGCTGCACCACACTGGAGATGCTGAGAATCCGGTAGTTGTTCAGTCCACGAGGCTGAATGTCTTAGTAGTCACAATCTGGCACAGAAGGTATGATGAATTCCAAGAGATCTGCTAGTCTTCAGTTTACAGCAACAAGATGAACTCACCAGAGAGAGAGAAGGCAAGCAGCAAAAAGCAAGAGCTCCCTTCTGGCATGGCCTTTTATATGGGCTACTATCAGAAGGGAATGCTCACACTTAGGATGTGTCTTCCAGCTTCCGATGAGCCAATCAAGAAGGTCTCTTTCATTTCAGTTAGTCCCAGATCCAGGCAAGATGACACCCAGGATTAGCCATCACAGTGTGTAAATCAGTTTTTAGGGCAAACCTTGTGATGGTTTTTAAATCCAAGATTTTCAGCCTCAGAAATGGAGATATCTATCTGGTTCCTTGTAGAAAGCATCCCATCAAACATTGTGTTTATCTTATTGGCATAGAGTGACAGCAAAATAATCCACAGGAAAGTGCTTTCTGAAATAGGTCATCTAGTCTTGTGTAGGTAAGAATGAAAGCCCAGGAAGATTGATTTTTCCAAGGTCATTAGCGCTAGTACAGTGTATTAGCTACAGTTTTCCAGATACACAGAACCAATAGATTATATATACATGGTACATATACATTAGATTAATTATGGAGTATTGGCTCACACTATTATGGAGGATGAGAAATTCCATGATCTGCCATCTACAAAGCTAGTAGTCTAGTTTCATCCAAATTCAAAGGCATGATAACCAAGCAAGGAGCCTGTAGTTCAAGTCCCTGTTCAAGTTGGAATGTCGAAGAGCCAAAAGCTCCAGTTTCCAAGGGCTCAGGAAGATGAACCACTCTACATAATTTTCAGGAAAAGGGAATTCACTCTGTTCTGCCTTTCTGTTTTACTTAGGTCCTTGAAGGATTGGCTGATACCCACTCAGGTGAGAGTGGTCTTTAGTAATTCTATGAATACAAATGCTAGTCAGTCTACCTGGAAATCCCTGATAGACTATTATGGTCTGAAATAGCTCCTAAGTTTTGATTATTTGCTCTTTAGCTTAGTTTCACTGTTTTGTGAAGCTGTGGCATCTTCAGGAGTTGGTGCCTAACAGGTGGAAGTAAATCACTAGTAGCAGGCTTTGAAGGCTCCAGCCTGACCACATACTTCTGTCATAGTCTCTGCTTCCCAGTCCATCATGATGTGAATAGTCTCTGCCACATGTACCCACTGCCATAAGCTTAACTATTCCATGTTTGCCTCATCATGATGGCTTGAGACCCTTTGAAACTATGAGGCAAAATAAGTCTTCCCTCCTTTAAGTAGTATTGTGACAGTGACACAAAAGTAATTAATGCACAGACACACCCATAAATAATGCATTGCTGAGCACAGTCAAGTTGATACATAAAATTAACCGTTACTTGAGAAGACTAACATTGAGTCAGATCTCTGAATTCTGATGGTTTTTTCTTGTTTTTAACTATTTACTCCCAAGTGCAGCTTGTTAAGATAAGGAGTTTGGCTATTTATTCCCCTCTACACGGGCTTCTGGTCAGTTAACAAGGGCTGAACATTCACATATTTTCTTGGTAGGGACTTAAATGACTCTGAGGACGTACTGGGGATAGAGAGGGGAGGGAAACAGGTGGCAGCAACTCTTCCATGCTGTACCCTGACCCACCATGAAATGCAGCACAGTTGATATATCTGTTCAGGATAGGACTATAGCCTCAAGTGAAGTGGGGAATGCTGGGGTATGTTTATAAGTGGAAATCTACTGAACAATTAAGTCACATGGATACAGGAAGTTGGAGGAAAGAGTGACTTAACATCATTTTCAGGTTGGGTGTCCAGTTTAGAAATGAGAGCAGAAACAGAAGAAGAGTCCAGTTTTGTTGAACACATCAAGAGCTTAGTTAGAGACATGTCAAGATTGGTATAGTCAGTAGAGTAGTAGAGAGTTATTTACCCACATCTGGACCTCAGGGAGATCTACTATAAGAGAACACAGGAGTATGATGTAGTAATACAAGGAGTGATGTGGGAGGAAAGGGAACATTCTGGGAGAGCTTACAGAGTGAGAAGGGGAGTTCTGGGGCCCCAGGGAGGAGAGTCAGAGGTGTCATAAAGCCAGCAGGAAGGAATGGTCAGGGGGGTCACAGACTACTTGCAGGGGACCCCTTCGAATTTAGATGATCTAAGTCACAACTCCTATTCTCAGTACCCAATGAGCAAGCAGGGTTCTAGGTAACAAAGTGACTGGAATAAAGAAAAACTGCCTCCACATAAAGACATATATTCCCTCATCCTCCACTGTGACTTTGAAAGGAACTCCACATGGGGGAGCCAGGCATGAACCTGGGTTGGGACTGAAATGGTAGAAGCAACTTACCACAATGAGCGCGACCACAGACAACGTGTAGTAGATAGAATCCCTCAGCAGGCACCAGGAGGAAAGAGCCACAACCTGAGGGAAAAGGGAGACAAAGAGCAAGAAACAAGCTGTCAGACAATGCAAATGAGTTAGTGTAACTCTGTGACTTGTCCTTCTCTGAGGCCCAAAGAAAACCCAAAAGAAGAGTGATTTTGCCTTTTCTGCTTCAGCAGAATTCTCTTTTTGGCTAGTGACAAACTGGAAACATAATCTCATATCTGTCTGCTGCCCTGGCCCTGACCAATCTGCTCATCAATTGGAATCTATTGAAGGGTTCTAGGTGTCTTAGTCTGATCTTCTCAGAAGCAGATTACCAAAGTAGGATTTAATTGTAGCAGTTGGGCTGAGGGGAAATGATCAGTGACAAAAAACGAGAGGGAATCAAGGGCCTTGTTCTACTGGGAGAGAAAGAAGGCTGCTGGGCAGTTCCAGGTTGTGTAGCAAGGTCAAGGGGGGAGCCCAGGGAAAAGATGCTCACCAGAGGAGTCATGCATTTCCCACGAGTAGATCTGGTTCAGCATTTCTAATGGCAAGGGAGTGCCAGGTATGAGCCTGTGCCTTAGTCAACAACTCTAAAGTCTGTACCTACACCCACAGTAGAGCGAGCATCTGAACTGGGTATATGTTGCCCTTCAGAAGTGAGACATGTCCTTAAACAGACTTACCCAGGCCTTCCTGCTTCATCTCTATCGTGTGAGTGGATCTATTGATATTGGACCAAACTTAAACAAATTAAAAATAAATGGATTTCTGTGGTGATCTGAAGAAAACATTACATTAGTAGTTGGTATATGCTTCCCTTAAAGAGATGCTGGCTTTGCTGAGACTAGGTCAGCAGTACATTGCTGAGGTTAAGGCAGTCAAAGCCCTAGAAGGAGGTGTCTTGTTGCAACATTGAGAGCAGGGAGGCCAGGACTGGACATCGTGGAGAGATGCAGGCGAGCCATTTCTTTCTGGTAAATCTTTTAAAGTCTCTTTCTAGGGGACACCTGGGTCCATTTTGGCAAACCCTTATAAGATGTCTGGGAAGACCCACAGAACCATGCCAGCAGGTTGTTACTAGGTTGTTATCCTCCCTGGAAGAGTATCATTTACCTCATGGCCACAGGACCTTTGTTTGGCTGCCTTTGCCCTTGGGCTACTAAGTGAAAAAGGACACAGCAAATGTCAAGACTCCTGGGTGGACAAGGGACAGGCACATGCTACACCAAAGACATCAGGGAAAAAGGATCATCCCAGGGATAAAAGACCACCCTAGGGTGATCTTTCATGACTCTAATCCCTGACTGCTGTGTCAGCTACAGCGACCAGGCAAAGTCAAATGAGAGAAGGCTTTCTGCATTCAAATAGCATGAAAGACAGGCCGCTCTTTCCATGAGTGCATCCTTCTACTCACCATACTGACAGGTAGATATTTTCGAAGGCTAATTTTGTGTCATTAGATTCTTGTATTGGCTGATCTAGGCTAATGACAATAGGGTTGTCCAGAAGAGAGCCAGTCCCTGGAAATCTCCATAGGACAATTACAGGACACACTTTACCCTTTCTTTTTTCTCCTCTGTGTTGCTAACTTGTAGAAGCTATGGTCATCATTCACCATTGCTAGACTAGACTGAACTAAACTGTTCATTTTTCAGCAGGTCATAAAAGGTTGAAAGTTTTATTCAATTTATTATAACCAGACAGATGAATTTGCAGCATCAGACAAATATCAGTCCTGAACCTCCTTAGGAGTTTTAGATGGCAGACTGAATACATACATTGTCTTCACTCATTCTTATTATGTTGTGACCAGATGACAATTCACATATTTTTAAAAACAAGACATAAACCCAGAAGTCATAAAAACAGACTAGAAGATCAGAGCAACGCACTTTTGGAATCTGGAAAGCAGAGGATCAATTGGACACTCATCTAGCTTTGCAGAAAATTCAGAAGTTGGGCTAAAGATGGACCTGGATATAGGGCAACTAAAGGACTCTTTAAGAATTTAAACCCCGAACTTCTCCCTAATTTCAAGCAGCCAGACCACTGCCCATCCCTCACTTTAATAAGAAAATAGAGATACAACATCTAAGTAACAGAAGTTCCCGGAAACAGATATAAATAGTTCAAGAGAAATTCTCACAAGCTAAGGACTTCTACATTTCCAGTCAGTGTCCTCAAGTGTCTGATACAATAAAAAGAAAAATGTAATATAAATTGTCCACTTAGATTTACTGATGCCAAACACATAATCACAACAGAGAGAGAGAGAGAGAGAGAGAGAGAGAGAGAGAGAGAGAGAAGAATATTGCTTTGTTTTTTTTTTTTTTTTTTTTTTTGAAAAAAAAAAAAGGAAAAGAGAATTGTTCTCAATGTGGATTTAGCTGACACACAAAAGAGAGAGAGAGAGAGAGAGAGAGAGAGAGAGAGAGAGAGATCAAAACCAGAATGACAACTGATTTCTCAAAAAAATATTGGAAACTAGAAGAAAATGGATAACGCTTTCAAAATTAGTGAGGAAATTATCATCTGAAATTTTATGTACAACTAACTTACTGGTTTAAAATGAGAAGAGAATAATTACAAAAGTTTAGCTCTCTTAAAATTTTACCCGAGATGCACCCTTTCTGAATAAACACTATTGGAAGATGCACTCCAGCAAAAATAAGAGTTACAGAGAGTATGTTACAAAAACCCACGAACTTAGCAACAAGAATCCAGTAATAATTGAAGGAAATTTCTAGAATCATGGCAAAGGGAGATTATGGAAGGGAGATAAAAGGGGATTATAAAATAAAATGTTTACAGCAGGTTTAGAGGATACCTAGCCAGACTGGGGCAGGTTGGAAGACTCTGGAAGAAATTATGCCAGAAGGACAAAAAAAGATGAAATATCTGATAATTTGGAATTTATAGAGAAGAAGCTTTTGAACTCTAGGAACAGAACATAGAAAATGAAGCAAGAGACAAGCAAACAAAAAATAAAATAACATCAGCTGTGGTATGGTGGCCCACACCTGTAATCCCAGCACTTGGGAGGTTAAGGCTGGAGGGTTGCAAGTTTGAGGCCAGTCTGGGCTATATGGCAAGTCCCATCTCTTAAAATCTCAAACTCAAGCCAAACCAAAACAAATAAAAAAGACAATTATAAACCACTAGGAAAACAGAACTATGACTAAAAGATTATGACTCATTAAATATTAATGTCCTAACTATGAAAAATGGTCATAGAGTCTTAGTAAATTAAGCAGACTATTGTCTAACCAAAATTGTGATAAAACTATTTGAGGACAATGTGGGGCAGGCTAGGGCTAAATCCTCCTCCATGCTGTGAAGTCAATACAGAACACTTGCAATTAAAAATCCAATAGCTGCCACCTAAGCATGTTACTTAGAGATTTTTACAGCAAATACTGAGAGCAGCCACATTAGTGGAAAGTGGTTCCCTCCGACGAGTTGGAAATTAGAACTGATGGGACTGGAAAATGGCTGTTTCCATAATGTCTTCAAGCAATGTGCGTATACAACTCCAATAAAAATATCAAAGAATAATAAAAATTATCCACTTCGATTTACTGATGCAGGAAATAAAATCCACACCAGGTCTAGATGTCAAACTTGAAGAGACTATAATATATTTTTTCTTATTATAAGTAGAATTATCTTTAACATCTGGATGACAGTCAAACTTCAGCCTAAGCTTAAGATGTTACACTGAGTAAAACTGATTTTTCCCCCTATCGATCAATGAAATAGGGTATGATAGTAAAGAACCAAACAAGGGAATAATTTCTTTCTGCCCTAGAGGGAATAGATGGAGGGCCCCCCCCGAAACTATACATAGCTGTGCAGGAGACATGGTGACGGCTGCACCAAGGTCCTTCTCTTGTCTGTCTCTAACTTACCTTTCTGAGATCCCATTCATCAACAATGGTCCATATTTATCTGTCTTTTTCTGCAGACAAGGGGATCAAAGGGTATCTCATTCAATCTACACAACAACCTAGGATGCTTGGGCTTGCCATCTTTTGCCAGCCATCTGAGCTTGTCAAGACAGATGTGACCAAGACCATACCAGTAGAATTGGGATTTGATCCCAGGAACCTTGGGTTTTAAGACCCTGTGCCCACGTACTGTGCTATACAGTGCTCCACAGGAGGCAGGTCAGAAAACCAGATGCCTTTTTGTCACTATCACTGTATTGCCTTCTGCAGGGAAGGAGGTTTCTTTTCTCTATTATTTTAAGCTGTGAGGACAAATATGTTAGAAATTGTAGCTAAAGGGGGGAAGATCTGAAGCCTAAAAGACAAAACAAGATAACAGTGGCCACAGTTAAATTTAGAAATGACCTGCTTTAAGGAGATTCGGGGCAAGCAATCAAAGCAGAAAGGCATTAACTATAAGGACTGTAGGTGCAGATATGGATATACCAGGAGGGAGAGAGTCGGTTAAATAAATATTGAAACTACTGGTCCATTTGTCTAGTTTTCAAAAAGAAAATTTCCCTTACTGTTTGGCAATTGTTTTGTTTTCCATGAATGTGGATACATTGACTCTATACAGTTCCCTTTGCTACTCAAAGAAGGGTGGAGGCCCGCACCATCTGATTCAGATCCTGGACACATTTCCTGGCTGAGATGGATATGTTGATATCTCTGCAACAAAAGGGGAGGCCCTGTGCATCTATCTGCAGGTGTCACCCAACCCAGAGCAGGGAGGACGGCAGACAGCTTAGCTTCTGCAGCGCTTTGCAAAATGACTGAAAGGTAGTGAGACAAGTCACCCTGGAGAAGAGATCAGAAAAGGGGTCCGGGGGAGAAAACCAACAGTGAGTAATTCTGCGCTTGACCTCATTAATTAATGGTACAGATGGTGCAGATCACAAAAGGCCATCCAATGGCAAACTCCTTCGCAATCTAGCCAGAGGCTCTGTTCCCCCAGACCTCGAGGAATCCCTCCCAGCTGGAATTTCATCTTGATATTTCCTCTGCTATTTCTGGAGTACAATCTCACACATTCTCAACTGAATATACAGTTTTGCTTTTTCT